TCTCCAGAAGATCCGTTGTGGGAGAACTGTAAGAACTAGTTGACAAGATACATATCACTACAAGAGCTAGAGAGGAAGCCATGTTTGCATTGCGAAAGGCACTTTTCATTGCCACGATACATGAAACCTATTCCGTTAGAGGCACTTTTCGTGCCATCTTATACCAAGTCTGATTTCTGAACCCCGCGTATATGCACATTTTTGCACGCGTATACGTGGGCTTTGACAGGTACGCATATATACGGGGTTTTAGCAACGCGTATAGACGTGCATTTGATTTTGCACATATACGCGTATTAAATACGCGTATATACGCGATATAAATGGTTGTATATGGGATAAAAGCCCATACATAGCGATTATAAACGATTATACGCGGCAAAAAAGCCCACGTACACGATGTCATAATTTTGAAACGGATGGCCAACCATAAACCATTTGCTGAATTGTGCGCACAAATCTAGGCACCATGCCCCAATGTAAGATTATGAAGGAATGCAGGCAAGATTTGACGTCAATAAGTAAAGGCCTAAAACATGTTTGAAAAGGTATGAAGTGTTTTGAGTATTTATTTATTTTATTTTTCTGCCTGGAGAGCGAATATCTTATTGCATGCTTTTCCAACAACTAAACTAGATTCTTCGATTCATGTGGCCTCTCTTTAGGAGACCTTCGTTTTCAGCTAGAAGACAAGACAAGAACTAAACATATTTACACCACACACAGACAAAAAGCTAAGAGACGAAAAAAGACCACACTTCTTATGCAAGGTTTAAAGCCACCTAGAAAATAGCTACAAAGCTTATCTAGCTAAGAAGCATCATAGTCTTTCAAAATACATGGAGGGACAAGTATAGATGTTTGTAAAGAGAAACAAAAAGAGACACCAGAAGGGGTGAAACGCACACACACACAGATCTGAGACAAATAGGAGAGGAAACCAAAAAAACGAAACGATTCAAAACGATAGAGGGGCAGAAAAGGACAAACACGCTCTCTACGTCGAAGCCAAGTCGGAGCTAATAAAAACACGCGCGCCCTTGGCACGTCCAGCGATCAATCCAGCGAATATGGTGGCACTACACTCGGCGATGTTGAAGATCTTAAAAGCTCTTACCGATGGGGCATTTGAACCGGCAGTAGAGATAATCTGCCAGGGTGTTTAGCAAGGCGGGGGAGGAGAATTGGCGCTCTTTGAATTGTCCCCTTAGTCATCAAGTAACGCGGGGGTCACAATAATTTCTTGTCTATAAAATGTTTACATTTGAAGCTTAGGATTCCGGGGATTCTTGAGAAAAAAGGGAGGGAGATCGAGGATTGACTGGAATCAGTGATTTTACGATGCGAGATTCGGAAAATGTTGTTTTGGAGAAGTGATATTCTGTAGGAATTGTAAGCCGCCATAATTTTCTTGCAAATTGAAAAACTTCTTTCATTCTGTAACTCGAACTCTGAAGACAAATTGCTATGGTATTCGTGGTGAGTTTCAATAACCATAATTCGAGTTATCGAATGAAAAGATTTAGTTCCAGTTTGCGGGGAATTCCAGTTCAAAATGCGAGTTCGAGTTAACCGATTAAAAATGACTGAAAAGTAGGGTCAAATTCAATAGAAAAGGGAATTAGTTCGAATGTCTACTGTAGGGTTCTACTGTGTTTTCTTTTAACCCTCCAACCAACTCTTTAGTGTAAGGCAATTTAAACATATTATATGTTTGATTAAAGCTGTCGGGCTTACGGAATTTTAGGGGAATTTTGGGCGGGATAAAGGAATTCAGAATCCTGCTTGATCGGTTACCATTTACCTTATTCGAGCAAGTAAAGTTTCTGGCACCCAGTTGCCTATTCTTTTTATACTGCTGGTAATATACAAGTTCCCTGACTGGAAAAAAGGAAACACGCAAGAATTCTTTCACACGTGACTGGGATGACATGTTCACTTTGGACGGTAGGAGAACTGAAAGTCTGATCATTATAGATCAGAAGATGATTCTTGGAACCTACCTACCTACCCCTCCCCGGCCTGACCCAGCATTTTGAAGTGTTGAGTTAGGTAAAGTATAGGTTTGCAGCCTTCAAGAATCTTAATATTCGTCTGCTCAGTATCCACTTAATGCTACATCCCTATAGTAAAGTCAGTTTTGGAGCTTTCTCAGGATACTAGATGGACAGCAGAAAGAGCCCAGGATTGACAGGACAGACTGCTGTGCGTCTAAAGGTGATGTTACAGGAGACGATTCGCAACGACTATTTTTTAGCTCAACAAAGCGTTGCAACATTATTGCGGCATTCTTTCGAATAGTTCCAACATTGTT